CTTCCGTAGCCAAGATTCAGGAAAATGAATTAGCAGCAGACGTATAGGAAAATCCCACTCATCAGTGCATGAACTCTCAGATGATGCCAAACACTGCTGGCCTGCAGGCTGAGCTTCAAGTGGTCATCCCCGGGAGATCAAGTTTTTGTGTTCAGGGCCTCAGATGGGGAAATACTTTCTAGCAATGCCTAGTATGCAGCGGGGCTCTAGGGACATAAAAAAACTGGGTAGTCATGCAGTGTTTGCTATAACCCACACTGTCATTGCAATGGGAATCAAAATGAAACATTTATATGACGGCATGGGACAGAGATCATGGATATGGCACAGCATACTCAACTCGCAGTAAACTCTTGCCTTTTTCACCCCCCCTTAGAAATCATCATGAATATCTGGCGGGGCATCTGTCAGATGCCATTGCGGTGTGCTCAATGAGCCTGGCTTTATGGACTCCAGGGGTGAGTTATGGGAGTGAGGCTCTAAGAGCCCATAGAAGTGGCTGCTTTACTGAATGAAGGAATGGAAGGGAGAATAAGCACACATTATAACTATCGTTCCCATTATCTTGGAGCTGAAACGATCTAGAATCTCCAGCATGGTCTGGATTGTGCTGTGCTTTGAAATACTACAAATACAATTCTAAGGGATGGTTTGTAAATACCACAAGCAATTAACCTGCCCCTCCTGGTTAACTCAGAAAGCCTTTACATCAGGTGCGTGGTGCAGGCATCTGAGCCTGGGGAGATAGAAGGAAGCGATTTGTCTTGGGGAAAGGTCATGCGAAACACTTGTCTCCCTTTCGTTCCTGCTGAGTGTACAACTTCTTGACCTCAGCAGCTACAGCCCATGGCTACGGAGGATAAAGGATGGAAGCATTTTTATTGCACCGGTGAGCAGAGTCAAGAGATTTATGTAGTTTATCATCAGAGTGCATTACTCACTGCACACCCAGGGTGCCCCATGAACTAGGTCAAAATTCCACTTTATCACTGATAGAACAAACACATCTGAATAGTGAAGTGTTAAAAAAAAAAAAGATACTTTCATTCTCAACCTCATTTCTTCATCTGTAAAATGGGTTTCACACTACCGACTTCACAGTCCATAATGGAGATTAGGTGGGGCCAGTGAAACACCTTCTGTAGTACACGGTAGGTGTAGACATTTCCCTCACCCAACGGCGACTATTTTACACACGATTTTATAGGGAACCTAGTTAACAGCAGGTACATTGATAATTATCAAGTATCTTGTTACATTATGACTTTGTAACAGGAGATGATTTTTCTCCAAAGACGAGACATGACAAATCCATATTTGGGCAAACACCAACAAATGCATGGCCCTTTATCTACGGTGGTGCTTGTAACATCCTTAATAACCAGAGCTTTTGTTTTTATTTTAAAAATATTTTATTGAGAGAGAGTGTGAGCACAGGGAAGGGGCAGAGGGAGAGGGAGAAGAGGGAGCCTGACATGGGACACGACCCCAGGACCCTAGGATCATGACCTGAGCCGAAGGCAGACGCTTAACGACTGAGCCACCCAGGCGTCCCCATAACCAGAGTTTTTAGTCCTGTTAAAAACAAACAAACAAACAAAAACAGTTCTCTGAAGCTCATATAGTGCCCACAGGTTGGAGGGAAGTCTTCTGGCTAGGCTTTTATTTTTTCAAGAGACTGAGAACAGCTAGACTTGAAAAGCAAGTACTACTTCATCTCCTCCCTCCAGCTGGTGACTGAGGCAAAAATCAGCACCACCCGTCTGAAAGAGCTCCCGGTGGTGGCTGCTTCCCTCCACTTCCCGTATGACAAAGACCTGAAGACCTGCAAGCCGGCTCATGCAGGATCCCAGCTGCTTCCGGTTCCCTCTCCGTGCCTGGGAGTTTCGTGGCCTGGTTCTCCCTCAGCAAGGAAAAGGCAGGGGATGGTTTCTCATTCATTCCTTCAATCGTCTGCCCCCAAACGCTCAATCATCAGCAGGGAAGTAGCGAGAAAATCTGTGAAGCCCAATTGCTTTTTTCCCACTGTGGACAGAACTCGGGGCTGGTTAAGGAGACTACAAAACTACCAAACCCAGTCAAGCTAGAAAACCGGGCTCTCCTCCTCATCTCCCCAACACAAAGAGCGACAGCAAGTTTCAGGGAGCAATGCCGCAGACAGAAGAGCACCCTCTTGTCCCACACCGAGACTGGGGTTCGCACCTCCTCAGGAAGCCAAGGGCAAGGACAAAAATTGTAAGGAAAAGAGACTAATGCTGGTCTCTCAGGGGAAGAGCAAAAACTAGTGTCCTTCCTATCTCCACGGAAGAATGCTTCTGAGCAATGACACAGAACTGCCTCATCTGGATGTATCCAAAAACATATTTCCCCAGTATATAGTTGTATAATTTATATCGAAACTGGAGTTTTGTTTTACAGAGTATTTGTTGAAAAAGTTTCCCAAAGCACCCATATTGTTCATATTTGGTCCAAAGACAACCAGAACCGAGTTTGGCAGGATGAACTCTAATGAAAAAAGCAGAGATAATCTACAGATTTTCATCCCAGCTTCATTTTTCCATGTTAGCTATTTCAGAAATCATGTACAATATTCTAACAGCATGTTCTCATTATACTAGGATTATTATTTACTTTAGAAGGCCATCATTTTAATGAGCAAATATTTGTTCTCCCAGTTCATCAAACAAAAGGGTGTACATGAATGGCTTGGGTCTAAATAATGGCTTAGAATCTGGGCATAGTACATGGAAGTTGCTGAATTGAGACTAGTTTTAGAATAAAAATGAAGAATCCTTCTATCTTAAAATGTATTACTTCAGTAATGAGAGTTTTTGTTTTTTTGTTTGTTTTTTACGTAAACTCTATGCCCAACATGGGACTAGAACTCACGATCCTGAGGTCAGGAGTCACATGTTCCATGGACTGAGCCAGCCAGGTGGCCCAAACTGTTAACGCTCTAAAGGTTAACGTCTTCCCAGGTTGCCAGATAGGAAGCTCAAACTACAAGTCTTTTAACCAGAAGAACATGACATCTGCGGGGTGGGGGGGTGGGGGGGCGGCTGTGGAATTTTCTCAAAAATACCAACTACACATACACACAATAAAAACAGCTTAACAGATTAATGTGAAGGTGCTTAAGAGTGGACTGGGCTTCGAGGTGAGTGGAAGGAAATACTAAGGGAGTGAGAGACAAAGAATTACCAGGAGAAAACACAGTAATGCTGGGAAGTAAGTTCAGGACAGCTAAATACAGGCAAATTGTATGGTAATGCAAGTATTTATTTTCAGCTTCCATTTGGCAGAAGACATTCCGAATTCCAAGGATCACTAATGAATACCACATGAAATACCCTTAGAGAAATATGTTCTGGTTTGGTTGTACGTGAGTCCCAAGTATTTAAGGGCTTGCATCAGTTCTGTGGTTTACAAAAGGAAAGCAATCTAATAAAGATATAAAAGTTGATTATGCCTGGAAAAAAAAAAAACAGGTCTTTTTTCTTTACAAGTGGAGTTTTGCTTTCCATGTTAAAATTATGATCAAGACTATATACAAAATTAGTATCAAGTGAATGATTATGTATTGGAGAGCAGAAACTTCAAAATGAGAACATGACTATAAAAAAGTGAGTACAATGCATTGCACACATCAAATTGTAGATTAGACAGAAAAATGGCTAATGTCGATGGGCTGTTTATTAAGTGATGAAAATGTCAGAAACAACAGTCATTTAAGTTTGGCTTAACTGAGTGATTTGGTCACCTAGTCTGAATGAACTCTTGTTAGCCAAAGATGATTTTTTGATGTTCAACTTTTTATATATCCTATCCTAGAGAAGACCTTTAGTTTTTATCATGAAATTCTCCAGTTTCAGGCATATCCTAAATGGGAATAATAGCACCAGAATAATAACACAATCTCTGTAGTATTAGCCAAAATGGACCACACTTGCCCTCCCATCCTGAAATACTATCAAGATGATTATATGGTCCTATTTTAACAATAGAATTAAATACTTCCTATAAAACTTTCATAGTCTAGAAGTTTGTGAATCAAAAATTATTTAGTCAATGTGTCAGACACCAAGTAAATTTGTTTTTAAGGTCTTCTGAGATAACCCCCTTGAAAGAACAAGATTCATCCAATTTTATACACCTATAGACTGAGTCTAATGTTTGTTCATAAAAAGTACTCAACAAGTATTGACTAACTGACAATATTAATTTGTGACAAATAATCTGGATCAAGAAAAGTCCTGAAAAGAAAACACAGCAGTTGAAATAAATCATTCATTCAAGAATAAGATATTCAAGAATGGTTATTTTACAGAAAATTTAAAAATCCCCACAATACTGTAAGTTTCCAGAGTCAAGCATGCAATGGAATGGTGAATACTGAATTTTATGTCAGTGGTTACCTCTAGGCACAGAACACAAAAAAGACCTCAACTGTTCTTACTTAGATCTAAGTCACATGTTACAATGTTATTCTGATGAAACAGAATGATGCATATGAATGCTTGTTATATTATTCTCTTCTTCTCCGGCCATTTACAAATTAAAAAGAAAAAGAAAAAGTAAGATAACAACAGCCCGTTGCAGGAACGATCAGCAGTGTATTGGTGCATCAGCAGTATGTCCCAGCTAATGACCTATTTTATGGATGAAATTCATTTAAAGATCAATGATCAACAGATGATACATGCATCTTTTATAATTTCAGTATATAGTTGTGATATTTCTTATTTAGATTTTTAATAAAATGTATTTCCATTTTTCTTAAAGAAGTGGAAATTTACTTGAGGAAATTTCTAATAGGAGAAAATTGCCTTATAGTGCCTGATTTTGTCAAAGCTGCTTTAAGTTCCAACCTTTCACCATCAATTACGGATTGTATATCAACACAGCAGAAAAGACCTGATAGTAAAGCCACAAGAATTCTGTTTATTATTATAGCAAACATTTTCACGGCATTTGACAAAACTCAGAAGTATCTCTCTGAAATGGGTTCAGATCTGTGAAACTAAGCTATCAGGATAAAGTCTTTACTTAGGGGAAAAAAAGAAAAAAGAATGGAAAAGCAATAACCAAAAGACACATTTCACATAATAGCAAAATATAAAAATAGAAGCAAAGTGACAGAATGAAAAAAATTGCGAAGCAATGGATTTAAGAAACTCCGATTCTGTCTTCCTTGTTGCTAACGGTCGTCTTTGTCCTTTCATTGTTATAAATGTAAAACAGGTAGGATAATAATTTAGGAAAGGCCTTGCAACACTTACTAGGAGGTTAAAAGGAATTATCGAAAAAGTGTTCAAATACTTTATAAATACTATTAACAAAAATATCTATTTTATTATACTTGTCTTCGTTCAGTGAAGGTGTCCTTTGAAAATCGCACTCTGTTTCTTAATATTATTTCAAATTCTTAACTAGAGAGAGGTCAGCTTTCTTCCAAAGCAACAGTCCCGGGCCCCACACTATTTCTGATGAAGACCAACGATACCAGAACTGCCACCTGAGGGAAAGACGAAGAAAGGCATCACAACTGGAAGTCCCTACGCTTAGTCCCGTCAAGTTAATGATCATCCAAATGACATACGTTGTGAGTCTAGCACTTTCAAGTATCATTTTGAAATCATATTCTGTATCTCAGTGTGAGACTTCTTAAATAAACAGGATCTTAATTTCTGTAAATGTTTGCAGTACCAGCTATTTCTTTAAGTAGAATTTTTTCTAAGAGAGCTGCTCCAGTGAAGAATAGTGTCTTACACATCCATGTCTGGATTCAAATAGAAATTCAACATTTTTCTGTGAAAAGACAGAAATACTCAAGTATTGTGAAAGCTTTCTGTAACCGTGGATTGCCCACCTATTCCAAGCATGTAATCACTCCCTATGAATCACTCCCCGATGAATGAAAAACGTTCTCCAGTGACTCAGAGCTCGTCAGACGTATTGTTCACCTTTGGTAACTGGCACTCTTCACTGGTCTGACAGTTCTGAAGGATGTCCTTGTAGTGGTCCTTTAGATCCTCGTACAAGGAGGCAGTTTCTTGTGAGTGAGCCAATGGTAACACCTTCTCATTCAATAGCATCTGCACTCGGAATTCCTCCTTGGGAGTCTTAGCATTTTTACAGTGGTAAAGCACGAATATTAGGTTCGAGGCGTAGGGCACAATGTGGCCACTTCGGAATTTGCGATGCAATTGTTCCTTGTAATTATAAGCTGTTAGGGGCTCCTTATCTTTGAAGTAGCCCATGAGAGAGAGCAGTGGAAGAAGGGTCTCTGCGTGACCAAACTGAAGGATGACTGGAGAGGAAATTGGCTGAGACCTTAAAAAACAAATGGAGAAAAAATATGTATACAGATTCATGTCATGGAAGATAGTATATCTACGGTAGTGAGAAGCAGTGTACAATGTTCTCATCTTTTTTAATCTTTATATACACAACTCAACAATATGGCTAAAATTCTCTGTGGCAAAGAACTGAACTGTTTATACTCAAAGTTAAGTTCCAAATTCAGGATCACTGTGGTATTGCAAATCCATCTAAAACACTGCACACTTGCTATTCTTTAAGTTCGCAGAGAGAAGAGAGTTTTTATTAGGAGGTTAAGGAACTCGAAGCAGATACGTATTTCAAAATTGTATTGCTTTTCCATGAATTAAACTGAGCAAACTGGCCCTTAGTCAATATCAATTATTCTAGGGAGGTCTTCTGAATGAACTTCAAATGCTATTTTATCTGTATCTAGGAAATAAGGACAAGCAATATTCAGTAAATTTCCTGGTTAGAACCTAGTTAGAACCAAGGTAATTCATATAATCCTTCAATGTTTTACGAGACCTGACTTGGGCACTGAATTTGGAAGAGAGCCAGAAAACAGGAGGGATGCAACCTATTCTAGCTGATTTTACTGTGTTTGTGGTTGAGAGCAGAGTTTACATAACGCCAGAAGTACAACAGCTTTCAATACTACAAGCTAAGTCACCTTTCTTTAATTGCAAGTTTTCTATGTCTTTTTTTTTTGGTAAAGGCTTTTTAAAAATAAGCAGCAGCAAATGACTGCGTAGTCTTCCCCCAACCTTAATAGGAAGAATATGACTTTGTTCTTAAACATAATTTGTAAATCTATTCAAATACAAGTAACTGTCTGACTTCTTGCTGCCACCCCACACATGAGACTAACCAAGTTAGAGGACAGCAGAATCTGCAGCAGAGTCCCCACAAAAGACAGATGGAACTAGAGAGCAGGTCCAAAACCCAAGGGAAACATTTACAAATAACTGTACAGAAAAGTTTTCTCAGTGAATCACCAAGGGCCTCAAGACCTGAATATTAGTATCGGTGTCCATGTGGAAGAACGCAGAGGGAAGCCACACAGCATGCGGAGAGATCTAATATTCATTTGGTGAGTGCAGGAGAGGACTAGCACAGGCCTCTCCTGTGGCTGCAGAAATCTAGCCCCTGTGAACTCTCGCAACAGCCACTCCAAGGCCCCATTCCAGGACAGAGGCCACAGACACGAGAAACTGCTGGGAGCGGGCTCAACACTGAGCTGGGCAGGGACAGTAAAGACCAAGGGAAAAGCAGGTTGGCATAAAAGTCAGGGGAGGGGACCAGAGCCAGAAAATGTCAGAAAGGAACCCAGCAGACTTCTGAACTTTAGCACACACACACAACACCAGAAAGAGCTCCATGAGGTTAGAAAACAATCTGACATGAGGCTTCTTCTAAATGTTCAGGGAAACCAAATTCACATTAAAATGAGCAACAGAAAAGTAAACAGAAGAATAGGGAGCAGAAAAACATAGAGTACTAGAAATACATACTCAAAAAATACACAGAAGCAATAACATACTATTATACAATCATCCACTATTCTATAGATTAATATTCTCTAAAAGGGAAATTTTAAAGCCATTCACAACAGGTGACTGTAAACCCCTCTTCTTAACTGATATCCTAATTAGGTCATTTAAAGTATCTAAAATCTGTATTTTGGGCACCCAGTCGTTAAGTGTCTGCCTCCGGCTCTGGTGGTGATCCCAGGGTCCTGGGATTGAGCCCCAAATCGGGCTCCCTGCTCGGCGGGAAGCCTGCTTCTCCCTCTCCCACTCCCCCTGCTTGTGTTCCCCCTCTCTCGCTGTGTCTCTCTCTGTCAAATAAATAAATGAAATCTTTGAAAAATAAATAAATAAATAAATAAATAAATAAATAAATAAATAAAACCTGTATTTATTTCCTAGAAGCATCCCCTTAGGCCCAAAGTTACAAAGCAGTATCATTCAGAACACAATTATATTTGGTTTGACCTGTGTAACTATTTTTAAATTTTGCAGTATTTGTCAGTATACAAAGATAGGGTGATTTCAGATTCTTAAAAAGCCAGATTTTTCACTCCTCCTGAGATCCTGAAAGATCTGACAACATATACTCCCATAAAGCAATAACCAGCTGAACAGGAATAAGGGTTACTCCAGAGAGGACATACAGCACACTGTCTAACCAAGAGTGGATTCATTCATTACTTGCCATGCCTTTATGCATTTGAGTATGTGCAAGTCAAAGCTAACAACACCACGTCATAGTGTAAATATATTGGAATTTAATAGTAACACAAATTAAAGAAAGTAAGTAATGTAAAAATACAGTTGATCCTTGAACAATGAGGAGGTTAGGGACGCCAACCCTCTGTGCAGGCAAAAATCTGTGTATAAAAAGTAGGCTCCACACCCAATGTGGGGCTTGAACTCATGAGCCTGAGATCAAGAGCTGCACCGTCTACGGACTAGGCCAGCTAGGCGCCCCCGTGTAGAACATTCTGACTCCCCCAAAACTTAACTACTGACAGCCTGCTGTTGACTGGAAGCCTTACTGATAACATAAACAGTTGATGGACACATATTTTGAATGTTTTATGTATTATATACTGAATTCTTACAAGAGAAAAGATGTTATAAAAAATGTTATTTAAAAATATCGTAAGAGGAAATACACAGTACTGTGAATTTTTTTTTTAAAGATTTTATTTATTTATTTGAGAAAGAATGAGAATGAGAGAGAGAGCATGAGCGGGGGAGGGTCAGAGGGAGAAGCAGACTCCCTGCCGAGCAGGGGGCCCAATGCGGGACTCGATCCTGGGACTCCAGGATCATGACCTGAGCCGAAGGCAGTCGCTTAACCAACTGAGCCACCCAGGTGCCCCAGTACTCTGAATTTATAAAAAAAAAAAAAAAAAGCACATGTAAATGAACCCACAGTTAAAACTTGTGTTGTTTGAGGGTCAACTGTACTGGTTTACATTTTAAGTCCTCCCACCGGAGGAAGCAAGCCCAAAGCCAGGCACAACCCTCAGCCTAATGCTCCATTACTGCTGCCTACGAGATCCATCAGGATGGGCAAGATGTCAGGAAGGGCAGCAGCAACACCCCCGTGGTCTCACAGAAAGACCCAACTGACAGAGGAACTCCAACAAACTGGGAACAGGATGTAAGACAATATATAATACGAAATAGTCTAGTTTCAACAAGTTACATCAAAATGATTAATGAACTACTTTACATTCTTTTTTTTCTATCGAGTCTTCAAAATGTAGTGTGTACTTCACACTTACAGCACATCTCCATTCAGACCAGCCCCCTTTCCAAGTGCTGAATAAACCACGTGAGGCTGGTGGTACTGTGTCGACAGTGCAGGATAGACAGTGGTGTAGACAGCCAGACATACTTAGATTCAACAGTCAATCAAATAGAGAGAAAAGACAAAAAAAGATACAACACAACAAACACACATATAAAAAAAAATGTGCACTGGGGGAAAGGGAAGAAACCAACAAGGCTATGTACAAATCATGAGAGAAGCTCTAGTAATTACATCTGAGCTACTGAAGAAAATTAAATTAGGTTGTGACCCAAATTTAAGTTTTAAACCTGAAGGTTCTTTAGGTTTATATAGAAAAAGCAATAAATTTTATTTTCCCTTTTGACTTGCTTTATTGTTAAAATCAGCTATTTTTGAGAAGAAAGTTGAGGAAAACTATGCTTTAAAAATGCTTAATAGTAGTTTTATGGGAAGTCAAGTAAGTTTATATATTAATTCACAGAGAGCTGTATCAGCAAAAATAAATGTCTTCTGCCATTTGATATATCTAAATTTAAAAAAAAATTATTTTACGTTTATCACAGGATTATTTACAAGAGAGAAGATATGGAAGCAGCCCAAGTGTCCATCGATAGATGAATGAATAAAGATGTGTTACGTACATGTGATGTATACATACAATGCAATATTATTCAGCCATAAAAAAGGACGAGATCTGGCCATCTGTGGCAACAGGGATGGACCTAGAGTGTATTATGCTAAGTGAAATAAGTCAAAGACATACTGTATGATTTCACTCATATGTGAAATTTAAGAAACAAATGAACAAACAGAAAAAAAAAAAGATAAAAACACAGACTCCTGAATACAGAGACAAACTGGTAGTTAGTTGCCAGAGGGGAGGTGGCTGGGGATTATAGATGTGACAGATAAAGTGGATCAGAAGGTACAAACTTCCAGTTACAAAATAAATAAGCCATGGAGATAAAAAATACCGCATTAGGAATATAGTCAATAAAATAGTAATAATGTTTGGTGACAGATGGTGATTACACTTATCATGGTGAGCACTGAGTAATGTATAAAATTGTTGAATTAATATGTTGTACACCTGAAAGTAATATAACACTGCATGTTAATTATACTTCAATAAATTTTGAATTTTAGAATTCTAGGCAAATAGTAAGAAAAAGTCTAATCTTTAAATAAATGCTAGGACTACTATCTTCCTACACAGATCAATCTTTATTACAGAAGCTGGCAACACAAAAAATTATATTTTTAAAGGTCTGGTTAAATTCCCCAATATAATAATAATAACTTAAGACAAGGATAACTACAGATTATGGAGTGAAAACTAATGTTACCCTCCCCAAAACAGTTTTAAAAACTAAAAACACTAATTTGCTTAGAAATCCAAAAGTGCCTATAGAAAATAATGAACTTACAAGTATTTGTAGGTTGGATTTTCTGCAGTAATCAGATAAAAATATTTTAGGTTTATGAGCTAATACCCAGTACAAAGGAGAAATGAGCACAGTCTCACTGGTGATCATTTCTGTCTATGCTTCCCCTCTGTGCCTTGCACACACAGCAGGCGCTCTTACAACTTCAGAGGAAGCAGCTGCCTGGTGCTGCCCGTGTTCACACAGCAAGGCCTCGCACAAAACAGATGCACCCAACTCTCCAAAAGAGAACAAAGAGGAGCAAAGATCCATTTGGTGATC